TGCCCTCGCTGGAGCAGGAGCTGCTGTTATTGCTATGGTGAGACACCAATAAAACTTGCATCTCCCTCTCAAGGGACATAACTATATCTCTTCAGAATCGAGCACAAAACAGAGGAGCCCCTCTCTGTGGCGTGTGTTTTTAAAATGTAGATACCACAGATGGCACAGGCTGGATTTTCTTTGTTTATTTCTTAACCAAAGCAGCATCTCATGTTGTCCATAAAGGACTGATTTCTCTTTGTTGTTAGCAAATCATTTCAGCTGTGGCAGGAGTTAGGTGTTTTTGACAAAGACGGTAAGTGAGGGGAGATACTGGAGCTGGGAAAATATCTGTGATTTGTTGTGGCTGGTTCATAGGTAGCCTGTCGTATCTGCCTGTGAGAGAATAGCTGTGGAGGGGAGGGAAGGCATTTTGGCGCAGTGAAGAAGACGGGGTTTTATCTCCCTCCCTCTTTTGGAGGCGCCAGACATGTCAATGTGTTGTCATGGAAACAGGGAGAAGAAAGGCTCAGAAATTGTTGCAAACATCACTCAGTAATTTGTGAGGAGCCATTTTCTGAGAAACAGAAAGTGCTTGCTAGTCATGGATGATGGTGCACATTGTGGAAGGACTCTTTTTCCTCATGCCCTCATTTTGTTTTTCCAGCTAATGACGGAGAAAACTCACAACAGATACACTGATGCATCTGAATAATGAGCTGCCCTCAAAAAACACTTCAAAGTCCGGAACACAGTGCTAAAACAATCTTTGAAAAAAATGCATCAGACTCAAACTTAGCTGGGGGAAAAAATAAGAAATGATTTTGAATCTCAGTCGTATAATTGGTCTGTCTGCATTTCATAAACAAAGAGCAGTGCAGCCATGAAACTGCCATTCCTTGTGAAAAGGGAAGCCTCAGTCTTTAAAGCACAATACATTCATTATAATCTTGGCTGCCATAGTAATGCAAGTCCAAGACCACATCTAGCATTATGCTGCCACCTGCTGGACCACTGGAAACACAAACAAGCTTTCCAGGTCTATCCACTGCATTTTAAATTCATTTGAGTACTATAAGTCCACAAGAGATAAAGCTGAGGAATTCGAGATGAAGTTCCTATGGGCTGCTATAGTTATTTAACTATTTTGGATTTTACACTGAAAGTAGCAGTGTTTCACAACTATAGGTGACCCAACAAATACGAACACAGGTTCTTTTTTTTATTTTTATTTTTTCAATCTGCTTAATAACTTAATAATTTTCCTCACAGATCCACTACCTGATGGTGCTGTCAGCCAACTGGGCCTACGTGAAGGACGCCTGCCGAATGCAGAAGTATGAGGACATCAAGTCGAAGGAGGAGCAGGAGCTTCACGACATCCACTCCACTCGCTCCAAGGAGCGTCTCAACGCCTACACATAAAGACCAGCGTGAGGCCTGGCCCTGCCACTCCGGCCTCTCTCCCTCTCTCTTTCTTCTGTCTTTCTATCTGTCTCTCTCTCTCTCTCTCTCTCTCTACCATCCCCTCCCGAGGGGGGGGCGGATGGCGCCTAGGGCCCTCGCCACCGCTGATATCACTGGTGCGTCATATGACAGTGTGGTCTGGGGGGAAACGTCACACAAAACTCCCCAGTCACAAACAGCATTTCAGATGAAAAAATAGCCCCTTTACCTCTCTCATGGATGGTGTTATGATTATCATTATGGCAGTTATATTATTCTTGAATACGAGTTGTTTAGTGCTGATAGTAGTTTTAGTGTAGTTTGTAGAATCAGAAGTAGCAGTAGTATTTCTGCTTTTTTTTTTCTTTTTTTTTTTTACTTTGAATAATCTGCATATAATTGTTTTATTTTTCTTGAAAGTTTTTATTTGATGCCAAGTGTCATTTTGCTCTCATGCATTATTTATTTTTTGCTCATTTCTGAGGGGGTACACAGGGGCTTAAAAAGGGTTTTCAAGCACATTTCTCATGTTGTGTGTCTGGAGATTTCATCTTCAAGAACAATGTACTGTATGTGAACGGGTGGTTAAGTTTTGAAAATGTTTTAAATCTCACAATGCAAATAGTAAGCAGCGTAAGCCTTTGTCATACCAGTATTCCCAGGGATTAAAACCACTTTCACATGAAAGTAATTCAATCTGTTTTTCTATTTGAAGTTATACAGTAGCAAGACGACACAATAAATACCAAATCATTAGAGTAAAACAAATATTTGCTAGATGTGCCAAGCCTGTTAAACAGGAAACAATGACTTTGATAGATATCAAAGATGGGATTAGTCGACAAAAGATAAATTATGGCTTATTTTATGATAATCCTGCCATTTAAATGTATTTTAGGACTGTGAATGATTCCATTGTCTTTGAATCACAAGCCACAAAAGCACATGCAAACATGCTTTCATAAACCCCTTTTTTAATTTCTTAAAAGTGGAACTTTATAAATAGTAAACTCCTGTTTTTGCAGAACTCTGCACTGTATATACTGATATATCAAAGCATACTTATATGTTAAGCACTGACATTTAAGGACAATTCAGGTGAGAAGAGGAGATCACTGTGGGTCAGTCCACTTTGCATCGATCAGTCTCAGCCGAAAAAGAAACCCTGACAATAAAAAGGTTGTTGGTGTAATGGCACTACTTGGTGGAATTATCAGATGTGAGAAAAGTGTGTGTCACAGTATTTTTTGTTCATGACAGTAACTGTATTGCTTACACATCTTGATGCCATATGACTACACAGGTGGCCTGTCAGTTCATTGCCTGGCAACGTTTCATGCACTTATTTGACCATTTCTGTGCTCTCTCTAGATGTAAGCGCATTGGTGTTCAACTCAAAGTTGGATAACTGTACTGTTAGTAAAGACTGTGAATTTAGATGTTTTTCGTGGCATGGACATGCATTAATATAGTCTTATTGACTCAAAAGTTACTTCATTTCACTTCTTTATTTTGACACTTTTGACTGTCTTGCTGGATCAACCCTTTGTTTATATGTGCAGTACTAAACCCCTCACGCTTATCGCGTTATGCTACTGATATTAGAGACTGTAGTCTTTGAGTTGTGTCTGTTTAGTTTGTGATGAGCTCTCAACCATGTCTTAAAACTAATACTTGTACCAACATTGCTTACTCTGTAATGATCTGAAAAAAAAATTGCTCTCAGCTTTCTCCTCGTATTAGTCTTTTGTACTTTCACTACGAATGCTTAGTAGCAGGCTTTAAATTGAATATGTTTTGTACATTCATGTGCCAACAGCTTGAGGTGGCTTATTTTACCTGTATGATCAAATTTGCTTGCATAAATAAAATTCACTTGTGTACTTGTTAATAAATACTTGATGTCGCCTTTGTCCATTTTGTTTTGCTGTCAAGCAGTCCCACTGGTGGTGTTACAGGATTTGTAAAAGCTACTGTATGAGCCCATATTTCACTGTCATTAAGGTGAGTCATGAAATATGTCAGGCAGGATTAGACTGTAGAAAGATGGATGACTATTTTAAAAGGAGAAAGGAAATTGATACTCATCAGGAGGAAATACACTCAGTAACTACTTCATACCACTAGATGTCTCCCTCTCCTCTGTCAGCCAGAAACTGGGAAAATAAATAGTATGTGTGTGAAAATCAATGATTATAACTACACTAATAAGATTAAGCACTGTTGATTATTAATATTAGGCACATTATAACAATACAATTCAAGTTTTGCTACTTAAACTGAGTTGTATATGAATAAGCAGTTTCACACTTTGTGTATAGGAGGTTCCTAACATGTTATATATTATCTGGTACCAGAAAGTCGAAAGCTCAAGAATCAATTTAGGTAACATAACTAACATAATATTAATCTTGATCATAAAACCATAAATCCATTTTTCTATTTACCTGCAGTAGGTTGTATTTGATTTTAGTTTTGTCCTCCTGATACCACACTGTATCTCAAAAATGTTTCCATGAGAAATTGTTTATAAATAAGATTTGGGCCAAGGATCAGCTGATTTGATTTGATGGTGATGCAGATACAGAACTTCTAACATTTGAATCCAAATACAAAATTTCTAACATTTTGTATCCAAGACAAAAAAACACATTAAGATAGAGGCCAAATCCCAGACTTGTCCGTTTCACTCAAAATGTTAATGATAGGAATGATGTCACTTGCTGTGACATCAAAACACAGGACTGTCCAGAAGATGTTTGCACTCTCCAAATGCCTGTGTATGGAGCCATTCAAGTCAACCCAAACTAAAATCAACGTGTGAAGAAAATATGAAACAGATACACTACTGTAGAACCGTCATCTGCATGCAGGTTGAATTTGGCCCCTACCCCAAGCAACTGTTCCAGCCAGTCAGGTAATAAATCACATCCAAGATTACACTTTGCACCCTGGTGCCAGACAGAACTCGTTCACACATCTTACATATGGCCTCCAGCTCGATAAAAAAATTACATTTAAGGAATTTCTTGAGAGTCAGAGGGACTTGCATCAGAATGCAAGTGCAAAAGAAGCAATCTACAGTCTTCTCATTTTGGAAGCAGGTTAAAGCAATGGGTCAAAACGAAGAAGAATTACAAAGACAAGGGGACTGGACATAACTAAACAGGGCTGGCTGTAGCTATACTATATATAGCATACTGTGATTTAAAAAAAAAAATATTTCCAATGTGTCCAACAGTGAATTGAGACATAAGTAAGAGCATGGACATTCAGCAAACCCAGGAAAAGCAAAGGTGTGGTTGGTATCTGAATGGCTTAACAGAAGGCGTGGCTGGAGGATCACGTGTGGGGAAACCTCCGGAATTAGCTGATTAGCACCACGTCCAGGTGACTGGTCCTGCCCCGTCCTGCCCCGTCCTGCCCCCCCCCCGTCCCTACCTGTAGCTTGCGTGACCCTGTCAAACCAAAGAAATCCTCCACTAATCCCTCCACCCCCCCCTCCCCCAGCCGTCAATCTGACAGGTCACCTGTACTGTAATTAGATCTTCAGCCTGTACTGTTGCTTCTTATGGACTTTGAAAGCTCTTTTCGTTATTTTACATTTGTTTTTTGGGAAGGATACTTCTTCAGGCTCTCAATGAATCCGGATGTCTTTTTTCCTGATCTCTCCTCCATGTGAGCATTTTGGGTGCATTCAGTGAAATCATGCGTCGACTTCTCTATGTGCATGTATTCCTATGCTGCCTCAGTATGGCTCGTCCCTTCTGTCCATCCCAGTGCACCTGTGTCTTCCATGGACGTACTGATGGAACAGGAACAAGGTAAAAATTGCACTTTAATTATGCTCCCTCATTCAAACACTTGGTGTCTTTTGCCAATTTGGAAAATTTAAATTAAAGATTTAAATTGCTCATTTAGCAATGATGACCCATTTTAATGAGCAAAGCAGTAAGAACCACAGCGTTCAGACTACCTGGTGCGAAATCTGTGTTCAATCAATGGAAAGTTAAGGGGGCATACTTTAAAAGTTATATTTACATGTTCACTGAGGGGCACAAAGCTCCAAACATTGTCAGCCATCTGGCCTCCACGAGGTGTGTTAATCGGGGGTAGAGCCTGATTTGGATGAGCAACAATTAACTAAATGCAGAGCCATCCAATGTACTGTTAAAGTAAAAGCAATATTAATACCAGTGTAGGAAAATTATCAGTTTTGAATCGGGTATCTCGAGGACACTGAAAATAAAGGCAAGTTTATCCAAATCCACCACAGTGTAATTTGTACTGACCTGTTTTGACATAATGTATGCTCCCTGGCATGGTACCAATCCATTTATCCCAGAGAAAGACCTAATTGCCATCATGTTAGCACTGAACCCTATTCCCCCATCTTTCTGTGTGGGTTAATTTTCACTAACAAGTTTGAGAACAGAGAAAAATTTTATGATGTTACATGTCCATTGTAAAAACAGAGAAAAGGTGCCTATGGCACATGTTCTGGTACAGGACTATATGACTATGTTCTTTTGTTCGTTTTTTTTTCCTTGTTATCACGTAACGCTAATTAAACTCTTAGTGAAAGGGTTTTCAGTCAAACAGTTCTCTTCTGCATATGTCTTTATCATGACTATAACTGATTCCAGATATTCCACCTCCTGCAGTGGAAGTCAACCCACATGTTCACTCACTAGTTATGATGACAGTGATTATCTCTGACCTTGCCATCTAGGAAGTGACCTCTAGAAGGACTACAGTCATGTCAGAAAAAGCATCCCACGTCTCGACAGAGTCTGGATGGATGGATAGCTGAATGGACAGATACTGTAGATAGATACTTATAGCTTGTAGACTGGTTGTTAATTCTTTCAGATGCTCATCTGTTGACATAACCTGCTGTCTAAATTGGAAAATGGGTTTAAGTGTTATACCATTTGTAAAACTGTTTTGTTATCTGGCCATAGTTATGTTGAAACCATTTAACCAATTTATTTTTTAATCTCAGATCTGTGCTCTGCAATGACCCAGACATGTCCGATATCCCTGTCAATGTCCCAGTGGATACGATTAAACTTCGTGTTGAGAAAACTGCTGTACGCCGAATTCCAACTGAAGCTTTTTACTACCTGGTGGATTTACGGTACCTCTGGATTACTTACAATTCCATAACCTCTGTGGATACTGGAAGTTTCTACAACCTCAAAGTGCTACATGAGTTGAGGCTGGATGGAAATATGATCTCTATGTTCCCTTGGGAGTCTCTAAAAGAGATGCCCAGGCTGAGGACACTGGATCTACACAACAACAGACTCACCAGTGTTCCCACTGAAGCTATCCCCTACCTCCTCAACATTACTTACTTGGATCTATCCAGCAACAAATTAGCAACCCTGCCATCTGATCTCATGGATATCTGGCCGCCCTTCAATGGAGCACCCATCTCTACTAATGCCTCCCAGAAAATTGTGTTAGGTAAGAAGAAAAGGTTGTCTCTGGCTTAGGTTTTACAGGACGTAAAGGGCCATGGCAGGACACTTTTGGGTTTATTTGTAATTACCTCAGGAACCTCATTCCATCACCTGTTAATCTAGCTAGACTTGTTGTGACTGACTCAAACCTGGCCAGGTAGTGACTGCCAGGACACAGTCAAATTAGCTTATTCTAAGCAGTGGCAGAGTTGACGCCTAATTTGTATTATTTATTTATTTTCCTAATTAACTGCTGAATGTTTAACACCGCGCCTCTTGGCTATCCAAGCTGGGGTCAAGTTCAGTGGATCAAATTAGAAAAAAAAATGTATCACAAGTGACCATGCAACATATTAAACTTACAGTGCACAATAGAAAACATTAATTACAGAAATGTTTCTGATGGGAAGATGATATCTAACCTTTGATCATTTTTTGAAAAGTTAAAAGATCCACTGTTAAAGTTTTGTTCTTATGTTTAATGTTCTAAACTTTTGTCCAATACACAATGTTACAGGTTTTCAATATTTCAGTTTAATTAGGTTGTGTTCATCTCCAAGAGGAATTAGAGATACATAAAAGAGTACAGTCACGCATTCTCAGTTTCAAACTCAAACTTGTGGCTATCATTAGGTCGAAGAGTTTCATTAGCAACAACTGGCAGAAATTGCAAATTGCATTGTCATTGCTTTTTGTTTTTTGGCATGACAAGAATTTTAGCATTTGTTGCCAAAATGTCATAGCGATGTCAACTTGTCTTCCACTGCTGACAAAGAGTCAGGGGAGGTGCAAAGAGGGAGGAAAGACAAAATGCCTAAAGGAATTTGATTGTTTTGAAGCAGAAGGGAGTGGGCTCGAAAAGATGGTTTCAAAGTCAAAAATCTAAGCAATTGATTATAGGTAGTCACTATGTTGTATGTTTAAGGTAATAATAAAACCTTACTCATGTCCTTTTAAAACTGGACACAAGTAAGGTTTTTTTTCTTTTAAAGTCTATTTCTTATAGTCTTATCTATGGTACTCGCTTACTGTGAAAACAGTATAAATTGTTGTGGTGTGAAACCAAAGTAATTGCAGCCTTATTATGTTGAGCATATTAATTAATTAATTGTCAATACTCCTGTTAAATCTTTATTAAAAAATCTTTTTTGTTGGATGAAATTTTGATGTACATGTAAGTAAATGTGTGTTCATCCCGTCTGTGTAGCAGTGACAGTGGGAGGGATATTGTTAATAAGCTGTGTAAGGGCAAGCTAGCTTATCCGTGCCACAAGAGCTGGCTGTGTGCACTGGTGTACTTGAAGGAGAAACAGGATTAGGCGGTAAGAAAAAAACAGACCATGCACAAACAGACGACAGCTTTTTTAGCACATCCTAAAAGCATTTCCTGTTAGTATGTTAGAAGAGGTAGGCTCACCTTTACTGCTGAATTATTCATAAATAAAGTATAAATAAATGCTGTTTTTAAAATATTGAAAGAAAAATTAAAACAAAGTTCAGACAAATATTTGAACTATTTTCAGTTTCTTCTAAATCTTTCAACCACAAAAATAGGCCTGATGAGCTCAAAATTAATACAATGACTATAAAGTGTTAAAGTTGTCAGAGACCTAGTTATGGTTATGCTAACAGAAAGGCTAATGGAAAGAGAGTGTTGCTATAAAATGGAAGAAGGCCAGAGGAAGCTTAGGTGCTTTGCCACTGTTAAGACAAACTAATCTGGTTAAAAGGCTTTAATATGCACCAGTACGTGTGCTTATCTATTGGACCTGTGTAACATGTGTTTACAGTAAGTTGTAAAGGAGTTCATAGGATCGATTCACTTCCACAGCCCTTGAATTTCCCTCTAACGATGCCTAAAATCATGTGAATTTTCACAGCAAAAGAGAAAACTAATGGCAGTTTATAAATATGGCTAACTTACATGTACCATGCAACCATAAGATACCCAGTTTCCAGCAGTGTTTAACTCACCTCAGAGTATACATCATTATGTGTTTGTAATTTTTTTTTTTTCAATTTCATTGGTTTGCCTTGCTTCCATCAAGTTGTACATCCATTTTGGGAAAAGGTGAAACAATTATCCTCTTAAATCTGCCTTTACTAGTGTAATCCATTTTAAATAGATTTTTTCCTAATATCACATTATAGCTAGGACTCAATATGAATGAGTCATTTCAAAAATTTGTCTCAACCACCAAGTTTTGTTTTGCACTGCTACACTGCCATCTCAGCATCCTCTATTCTTTCCATTATGTTCCATAAAAAAGGTTTTAAAGTCATATTCCGTTTAAATGGATGGTATTTCACACGGCAATGGAATGAAACACCAACGAATAATCATAATTTGTCTCATCTTTTCATTTTCAGGCCTCCAAGATAATCCCTGGTTCTGTGACTGTAAAATCTCCAAGCTGATTGAGCTTTCCAAAATGGCAGACACACCAGTGGTTTTGATGGACCTATTCCTGACCTGCGGTGGACCAGAGAATCTGGCTGGTGTTCTTTTTCAGCGTGCTGAACTTGATAATTGTGTAAAACCATCAGTCATGACTTCCGCAACCAAGATCACATCTCCTTTGGGCAGCAATGTTCTCCTTCGATGTGACGCAACAGGGTTTCCGACACCAACTCTTTACTGGGCTAAGTCAGATGGCTCACCAGTCAACAACACAGGTATAATATATAGCCTCTGCATTTTCAAACTTATATCTTTAGAAAATCTATGTATTAGTATGCATGTAAATTTTCACTCTCTGGGGAGCAGGAAGCATTAAGCTGTGCAGGGCTAATGCCACAAGGTCATAATCCTTTTGAAAACATGCAAAGCAGGTCAAGACCTGGTAGGATTTGATCCATGCTGACCTTTGTGTTCTTGTGTCACCCTATAGTTCAGGAGTCACCTGCGGAGGGCATAAGATGGTCCATCATGAGCTTGCACGGAATATTGTACAAAGATGCTGGGGACTACAGTTGCAAAGCTAAGAATGTTGCTGGCAACGCAGATGCCACCATTTCTATCTCTATTGCTGGTACCATCAGCACCACCATCCCTCCACTGAGGCCAAGCACTGGAACTGGACCAACCAGCCAAGGCACAACATTTACTCCGCCAACAGACATTCCCAACTTGCCCTTGTTAACGTCCACAGTTCTCCCAAGAACATCAACGACACTATCTGCTGTCCCCAAGAAGCCGAAAACTACCCCCAGCAATGGTTTACAGAAAGGCTCATTCAAACAAACAAAGACCCAGCAAGGAGGGAGAAAGCTTGCGGCAGATGAAAAGAGCAAAAAAAGTGATGCATCTAAGTCTATCAAAGACCTAAGGATTGTAGAGGAAACATCTGACAGTGCAGTGTTGCTCTGGGCAGCAGATGGACTGCCAAATGATGCCCCTCTTACAGTTGTATATTCACCCTATGGTGAGGATGACGTCAAAAGGACAGAGGAGACAAATGCTGGCAGTGGAAAAATACTCCTAGAGGGACTGTCTTCTGGGATGAGGTACTCAGTTTGCCTCATAGCAAAAGGTAGTGATTCTGGAAAAGACCCTTGCATTGACTTCTACACACTGGACAATGTAGAGGATAGTGGGCCGAATCAACTTTTCATCATCATAAGTGGTATTGCCTGTGCTTTAGTTTTGTCGCTTATTGCTCTGTTGATCTACAAGATTCTCGCTCTCTACTGCAAAGGACACAACACAGCTTTGGATGAAGAGGAGCTTGAAAAGGACAGCTATGTGAAGTTTGAGACAATTTCAATGAAACAAAGAACTTTGACCTCTCACCCAACTGAGCTTTGGGCAAGGAGAGCGACCCATGAATCAGAGCGAATGCTCCTGTGCTCCAGGTCAAGCATAGACTCCCAGATGACCTATAAAAGTGACAGTTCCCGGTCTGAGTATCTCTGCTGACGTAAGGAAACCGTGGGCAATGCCTGAATGCCACATTAGAAACACATATGAAATTTCTTTATATGCCTTTTATGAAACTGATAATATATTAACTACAATATCATTTATACATCTTTATAAATATTAATTTTTTCACATGTGGGGTGATAAGGCACTGATTGACTGTAATATAATGGTTTAGCCCATTCATTCTCCATTTCCAATCAACTATCAATTTATAAAGATTTATATAATGATTTAGAAAAGCTTAGTAAACATGAAAACATGCCCTGGAAGTTGTTGGTAAAAACTCAGATTAGTCAATAACTGTCTGATGTTTTTTATCCATGTCCTTATTTCTTTGGAGCCTTATATTTGATAAAGACATTTCAATAGTTGTCACTTCAGCACAGCACCTTTGTTGGACTGAATTATAAATAGTACCATACAAAGAGCCTGTAAGTTAACTGTGTGTGGTGTTCAATGTTATATTCAATGCCAAAGTTTAAGTGTCAGATATGAATATCATGTGGTGGTGTCAAAAAGACCCATTACCCATTCCCCATCACATTCACAACATCACTGTTGCTTTATACATCAAGTTGATTGTTGCCTTACTGGACAAGCAAGCACTGTCAGTGTGTTTGATAGAATATGTGACTCATCTGATAAACATTGCCAGTTTCTATGACTTTATGTATACGTTTGTTTATAAGTGGAGTTGTACATTTGTTTTTAATAAACCATTAATTAAACTGTTGAACTCTATTTGTGTTGTGTACATGTGTACTTGTACCAATATTTATAAATTTATTAAAAAATGTTGACCATCAATGACTTTCAGGGTCACTAAACTCACTGACCTTCAATTATTTACCATCAATTCTCTATTCACCTATGCATAAATTAAACTGTGCATTACCTAGTACGAGTTAAACACAATACTTAATTTAGAAGCAAAATAAAGAGGCTGCTGTGAAGTAAAAGTATGACCAGTGTTATTTATGAACACAATACAGCATCGAAATGTACACAGACATATCATATGTTCAGTCAGTTAAGAACAAGAGCAGGCGTGTTCATCCTGAAAATCAATGGGTTACAGTTGTCATGCTCTGCTCATCTGAACAGGAGTTGCAATAAATCCCAATTAGACAACCTGGAAAACTGTTCCCATGGATACCTCTGTGCCACCATCTGTATGAGCCTGCAGCAATAGATAATTTTTACACCAGCTGTGCCATTATTATGGCAACAGACAGGCTACTTTCACAAACAGAATGAATGGATGTAGAAAAGGATGGGCTAAGGTGTTAATGATAGATGAACTATGACTGGACAGACAGTCTGTTAATTAATCTATCGATTTGTCGGTCTGTCCTTTATCCCCTCTCTATGTCCCTGGTCCTCTTGCCTCTATAGCTATCTATCCTACCTAGCTGACAATTTATCTGTCGGACATAAAAACAGATACAATAGATTTCTTCCTTAATTGTGCCACAGCTGCCACTAGGCTGTGGTCCATGAAAGCAAATCCTGACAATGCAACTGGAGGTGAGATACTTTACCTCTCTAGAGGCTTTACAGTTGCATCACAAATTCTGCTGCCATTATAGCAGGCCAGTGGAAAACTGATTACATGTAAGTAGTGACAGAGTATATACCAACACGGCTAAGACTGTTGTGTGGTTGTGGAAACATTTTGTGATCTATGCTATGCACTGGGTCTAATAAGCTGGATTTGCTTCCAATTTGACTTAAATGTGAAACAAACTTGTCCTTAGCATTTTCAGCCAGAAGTCAAGCACAAAGCCATCAATCTTAAACCTGCAATCCATTAACTTTAACCTCACTCAAATAACACTAAAGTTTAAGGAACACTTATTTCTTAGGTTTTTGCACATTGTTGTTGACACCGAATGTAGAAGAAAATAACAATATCAGCAGCCAAGTAATGTGAACACAAATACAGTATATTATTAAATTCATGACAGTATTAGTACCAGCAGGTGGGACCTGGCAACCCTGATCAATATTTTTCAGTAGCAGATGGGAGCTGGGTGGATGAAGCAGCCAAAGCAAATGTGCTATTTTAGGTGTTTCACCACGCTCAACTTTGTATCATATAAACTTTAGTAAGAGTGATGATTTTGCAGGTATTACTATCAGCATGACATTATTTCAATCAAAAGTTGCATAGTCTCAAATGATTTATAACGTAACAGCTTCAAAGTGACTCATCCAGATGGAATTAAGAACTGTTTGTCCTACAAAAGCAATGACGTGATGATGATGATGTAGCATCTAATATGGCTGCAGCATCTACACTCTTTCTCCTAGATAACTTAACACTTAAACTTAACTTAACACTTAACTTGATGATTCAAACCCACGTGTACTTGTCATTCAGTGCAACAGTTACCTGAAGAGAAATTAACATTAACATTATAATTGTCTGCCCGCGGTGAAACCGTGGGAAAAGGTCAGTGCCCGTCAGACTGCTAACATTAGTCAGGAGACAAGGCAACGTTCTCAGCCGTGTAAATCTTCTACTTCTCCTATACAAGCTTACTGGTGACGTTGTTGCTGACAATATCCTAGTCATTGGAGGGTATGAATAGAGGTTTTGGTTCCTGCTGTCTGTTAGCTGTTCTCCTGGGTAAAAAGAGGACAAACAATTTAGGGATAATCAGCTCCACTCCTGCTCCGTTCTCTATAAATTACTCATTTTACCGATTCCCTCTGGGAGCCAAATGAACGTCAACAGGAGACAGTCTGACACACTGGCTTCTCATTCACACACACGACACAAAACAGAGTGTCTATTGTGTGTGTGTGTGTGTGTGTGTGTGTGTGTGTGTGTGTGTGTGTGTGTGTGTGTCTCAGTCATGTGTAAATTATACTTGTACTGTAAGTGTAGGTAATTTATGAATGGTGTAATAGTCTGGAAAAAATACCCAAAGTCAATTTTGTTCCCCAATGAATAAATAATTGAATATCTCAGGGTTGTGTCCGGTCTAATAGCCCATCTCCCCGTCTCCCTCTGCCAGACACAAAAACTCCAAACAGACGCATCCATCCACACACAGAATGGACATGGGTCAGGGGGTGGGGTGAGGGTAAGATTTGTTATTATGTGGGACCTTTCTTCAGCCCAGCCTCATTTCTTGCATATTCCACATTCTGCTTGAGACACTGACTGTAGCTTAAAGAAGATCTTGCTCCAATACTGGACTAGCATGTGCAAAATTTACCACGGGGGTGTCAGGAATTTCAATCTTTGCTTCCAAAACAGGCTGGCACCCTGGGGGCAAGGTGGAGAGTGAGCAGGATCCCACACACTTTTTCTTTTTTTTTCCTCTTTTGGTCAAACACTGCAATAGCAGTATCACCCTCTTTATTGAGTCCATCTTTTCACAGTGGATTTGCATCTCTCTCATCTCTTAGCATGACATCACCTGGTATGTAAAGTTCCTCTGCGTCTCTAGGGTTAAAGCCGTCGACAAGGATGTCAACAGTCTGTAAGCAAACGTTGCTTGATTTTGGGGAATTCTTGTGCGCCAGCTCTGATAGTGGGAATGCCTGAGAAACAGTGAACAAGTGCAGCTCCTAAGACAGGGAAAAGGCGCAGGATTATGTTGGCAGCAACGATCACAGCAGCGCTGCTGATCTATTTCATGGTGCAAAACTCTGGAGCCTTGGCCCTCAGAACAGGATGCTGGGATGAACGCCTATCACGAGCGGGGAGAAACAGCAGCTGTGCGGGTGAGTTTGACACCTCTCCTGTCCAGAGCAATAATTCCAATTCACAGTACTAACAGTTGCTCACTGTTCACCAGATAGTCTGCGGTATATGGAGGTCTATTGGTCCTTAATACATGTGTGTCAGTAGTCTGTTGATTTTAACAGGTACAGTATACACTATCAGCAACCATGTCAAGTACTATTACAACTGTGATAACTGCTATTCTGCCTTGGGCTAGTGCCCAGATAAAAAACAAAAACAAAAAAAAAAAAACTGATATTGTGTAAAATAACACAAGAACTACAACCATCTCTAGAAAGAACAGAGCAACAGATGGTAAAAGACAGCCACTCTTCAGTGTGTGTGGCAAAGTGAACTTGGCTAAGCAAACAATATAATGCACTGTACCAAAGGTACAGTACACTGGCCTGTGCTGAGTGGGTGTATCTCAAACTGAGCCCAAGTTTTTTGTGGGATGCCACAAGGACGTCACATGAAGCTTACAGGTAGTGACTGCTGACGTCTAAAAGATTATTTCCCCGTAGGAAAAGCGACTGTCATAACTGATGACTTTAGCTTAATCTCAACAGAACATAGTGAAGAGTAATGATGAGTTGTCTCTACAATAGCCATTGATAAATTCTTGTCACTATTTGGTGTCCTCCACAGATAGATCAAAGGTCAAGCTTAAGAACATCATCATCTGAGTTGGTTTAGTTTCCTCTGCACTCAAGCCGGTCTCACAATGAACAAGATGTATTTTATTTAAACAAAAAACTACATTCTAGCATCCTCACGCAGCAAATATGAGATAACAAAACATCCAGGGGCATTTTTCCCCCTTTTTCCGTGTTCCTCCTAATGAAAATGTATTGATCTCAATCAAGCCCATTTTCCAGTTTGCACAATGTTGTGCCAAATTTGCAATTACCCCTCGGTTCACTAGAAATTAGTTGATCACACCCCAAAGGCTGTGCAAGAAACAAGGGGCCACACACTCTATGCTGCTTTCACTGACATCACTCTAGAGATCTGGATATAAAAAATATGAAACATCTTCCTCACATCTATTCAAGAAATGAATATAAACTTCTAAATTATCATGTGCAATTTCATAAAGTAATACTGAGCTATATTGTGTGATCTTCTTTTAACTCAGTTGAGAATTCATTTATAGATAAAAGAGCCAGATGGAGAGGTCTAGTTTTTTGGCTATTTCAATTAATTAAATTACCTGATAGTTATAATACCTCAACATACTAACAAAATAAGTATTTCTTTATTGCTGTAAAGTAGTCCTGCTCAGTAATCTGCAACATTGTCCACAAAAGCCAAATACAGCCACATATATACTACCCTGGTATAAGTGGTATGCGGAAATGTCTGTTATATGTTATATATTGTCATACCGCTCAAACCCTTACAGTCTATGCGATGTTGCATCTCCAATACTCAAGATTGTTTTGATGAGCAACAGGATTGCATTGGCCAACCCAATGAACTGACTCAACAGCCAAAATTACCACTCAAACTGCCCTAATAAATTTTATCATGATGAAAAATAGGAAATCAATGTCCATAATGTTTGCCTTCCCAGGCATTAGGAGTATCCTGATTTGTTTCACTCTGCTGTCAGATCCAATAACTATTGTAAAATGGAAAATGTTCTGACAGCAACCCTTTTCCCCAATAACCATATCCAATGAGCTGAGCTTACTCGGACTAGAATAACGTTGACCACCCTGTGAACTTGTCAATCAATGATTCATCAGGATGTCTCCTAGCAACTCAGCACCAGTGGCTGTCTTAGGGAGCTCAGGCCAGACATTTCATTATGTTTGTCTGGTGTTGCTCATTGTTTTCTTCATTCCACAGAGTTAAGAGCAGTATCCATGGTTGCACATGACCATGATAGACCAGAGCACCTTCTATCAATAGCAATTCGGAGATCGAATTAGGCCAGTTTGTCAAAGTTCAACTGTTTGGACAGCAAATAACATGTCTGTATTA